CCCGTGGTTAGCCGGCTCGAGGGGGCGGTCCTAGGAGAGGGTCGTTACCCTGATCCGTGCAAATGACGGGCCAAGCGGCGGGACTCGTCAAGTTCCGCCAAGAGCTCCATTAAGTAGAATCTGTGCAGTGGCCGGACCCTTGTGGCTCAGCTACGTGTCGTTTCGGACCAGGAGTCGCGGTCCCTTATGGCTCGGAACCTCAGGTCCGTCTTGACGCACGTTTAAACCTTGATTTCGTTGAATTTGGTGAAGAAATGAGCTTTTTATGATAGAATTTGTGGAGGTAAATGTTACAGAAGTAGTTTGAGTTATTTACAGTGAATGAAAATGTTGAAGTATTAGACTTTGGACATCCATGTGTTGAGCTTGTTATTATTTGCTTGTTAAGTAGAGAAACATGACCGTTAATTGATGAGTTTAGCTAGAAAAGCATGCCTAAAGCGTATATTATGATTTATTAAGAATCTTGCCAAGTTGCTAAATGATGAAGTGTACAGAGCATGCCTATCTTGAAAGTTAAATTATAGTAAATGAGTTTCCTTTGAATATTTTTGAGCTCTAAGTGCATGTTAAATACTTGTTAAGTGTTTGTTGAGAAGATTTGTCAAGTTATGATTTACAAGCATGATTTAAGTGTTCTTTGAGAGTTCACCGTAAATGGGAATTGAAGCATGTTCACAGTACATAGCATTTTGAGCATATCATGTTTTAAAAGTACATAAGTGGTCAACGTGAGCCTAAGTATTATTTTCCAAAAAACTCATATCCATTTTGGAAAGTCATTATCTTGTCATATTGAGAACTTGTTGAGAAGTTATGTGCATATTTGCATAAGTAAAGTGTTGCATGATTTGAGTTGCATGAGTTATATCTATATGTATCTATTGTGAGGAAAAACTTGTTTTGGAGGACTGTTAGGACTATGTCCTTTCGGAAGAAAAGAGAAAGAAACGGACATTGCGATCCGATGTGAAGTAACAAGGTCAATATTCCCACGTTACTAGGTTGGAAACTTTCTGCCAGGCTTGGAATCTTGGTCAGGGGGTGTACACACTGATAGTTCGATACCTGATTCCACAGAGTTTGAGATTTGGAACCACGAGATTGGTTCTGTGGGCGAGATGAGAGATTGGCCGGCTAGACACCGAGCCCAATAGGTTCATTCACATTATGGTGAAGTCCTGCCTCGTCCACGAGTATAAAGAAAGCGAGTCATTGCGACTCTAAGAAAGCGAGTCATCGAGACTCTAAGAAAAGAAGAGAAAAGCGAGTCATTGTGACTCTAAGAAACCTCCACAGAAAAAGTATTCTTTTTACAAAAGAGTGTATATGTATATCTATCTATACTTATATTATAACATCATATTGTATGACTATATGCCTTGCACGAGATTGTATGATTAGTAGTAGATAGCATGAGATTGCTTATGAGTTATATGCCTTGCACGAGATTGCATGTTTAGTAGCATGAGATTGCTTATGAGTTATTTGATAGCATGAGATTGCCTATGAGATATTTGATAGCATGAGATTGCATATTTAATTTGGTTATATGAGAAAGCATGAGATTGTTGAGTACTTGAGAAAGCTTTAGTTTTGTTTACAAGTTTTGAGACTGTGATGAGTTGTTTGTTGTATAAGCATGCCTATTCGTTAATTAGGTTGCAAGCATCTAGAAGTTAATGTCAAAGTATGGTTTAAGTGATTAAGTTGTTAATGTAAGAATGTGAAACTACTGTTTTCCAAAAGTATATACCGTATTACTTTACAGTGTTGAGTGGCGTTATACTTAGCCTCGTGCTAACGGGTTTGTTTGCTACTTGTTGTTTGTTAACCCCTTTCAGGTGGGCCCAGTTCGTGAGAGAGTACGAGATAGACTAGATTAACTTAGATAGCTTTTGTAGTCTAAAACTCTATAGATGTTTTCGGGTTTGTAGTTGACTACATTGTTTTGATGGTGCTGGACACCGGGGTCTTATCCCCTAGTTTGTTTGGTTGCTAGTAAGACTTTAATGTTTAGTTTTAGTTTCCTTTTGTAGCCTGTGCAGTCACCGTAGGCGGTGACTGTGGCAGTGACACCTCTTTAAGCGTTTTAGTTGTTTTAATCCGCTGCCTTAGTTTATCTTTCAAGTTTTAGTTTGTTAATCAAGTTTAAGAAAAGTGGGGTGTTACAGGGAGTGTCTACCCGTCAACTTTAGAATGATAATTGCAAGCGAAACACGAAATTGAACCATGCTTGGTAAGACATGGGGCAAAAGGTGAGCCTTTGGTGAGCTTGAGAGTGAATCACTAATCCGTAGAAAAAAGGCATGAGGGGTTGGTATGATGAATGAAAGAAAAAAGGCCAAGGAAAAAATAATGGCCACTCCTATGAGGTAAGAAACGAGGTGAGCCGTCTTGCTAGGATTTGGGGTAGCTCCATGTGAAGTCGGGTCACCCGATAACGTTATCCTAGGGGGTTGAGAAGAAAAGAGAGCCCCCGCCTAAGCCATTTGCAGATAGAGGCCCATGTTGCACCCTCACTTTACCTTTTATGTTGGGTTTTGGCGTTTTGGATGGATGTTTTGGTTGAGGTGTGCACATTGTTCCCACTGGGTGGATCAGCTTGACGGCGCTTGGAAAATAGGAAGTGAACCCAAAATTGGTTGCATGCTTGGCAAAATGGTGTGAAGAGTGTGTTCCCTTTATGCTTAATTTTATCCTATTGATAGGAGTTGTTGTTTCCTTAGTATATTCCTTGAGTTGCATAGTATGGCACATGGTTAACACACTTGCTTGATGATATGAGGGATTTCACCCCCTCCGTTTTCATGCACATTCCTCTTGATTGACCATTTGATTGATCGAGCTACCTTTGAAGTATCTTTGGCACTTATTTATTCTTGGTTTGATAAAGAGCTTGCTTGAGGACAAGCAAGAGTTAAAGTCTGGAAACTTGTGTTGGTCCAAAAGAGGTAAGGTAAAAGTCTAGAGGAGGGGGGAGGGGGTGAATAGACTTTTAAACCGATTTCGCCAAATACAACAATTGCTAAGCCAACAGAGAAAGCAAAACTTTTAACCGATTGTTAGAGTCTTGTGCATCGCGGAATAATAAAATAAGGTGTGTGTAATTGTGTCAAGTATATCTCGTGAGAAGCAATCAAATAAGTAAAGCAGTAAAGAACACAGGAAATTTAGAGTGGTTCGGAGGTGATATAATCCTCCTACTCCACTTGCACTTATCTCCAAGAGCAATTCGCTATACCCACAATTTCTTGATTCCGAGATACAATGAATTTCGTGATCTAGTGCTTTGATCACCAAGCCCGCACTAATCACGCCCAACCCAATGCCTACAACACTGCTACAAGATTTCACAACTCCGTGCTACTTTCCTCCCCTATGTGTCTATATCCACTTTTGATTGTATAGCAACCCTTATGGTCTCCATACCAAGTCATCATAGATTGGACTTATGGGGACCCTAACAATATAATACGTTCCACATCACTAGGCAGAAAAATATCCTTTAATATAGATAAATCCCAAGAATTAGTTTCATAGAAAGCTTAAATGAACCAAACATCTTAATTAATTTTCTAGGTAATTTAATTCCATTCTAGGGTAGCTCCAAACATATTAATTAATTTCTCTACAAAGTTATTTTCAACAAATAAATTCTTTGGAAATATTTTCCTGGAAATTTAATTGACAGAAAACTACCAAACGCAATCTAAATGCAAAATTTTCATTATCTAATCAATATTATAGGGAAAAAAATAATATTTCAAAATATCAATGAATTTACAAGATAAATATTTCACATATAACAATAATTCAAGCCCTAATCATATACACAAGGAAAACATACTTATGAATTCATTTGCATAACTCTTTAATAACTATTCGACAACCTTGATACTGATACCTGGCTCATGCATGAATGCGATAATGATGAATCAAGAAATTAACATTAGTAGGCCTATTATAATCATGTCACAAACAAAATGGGACGAAGGAACAGTTAACTATTTGGTCGAGGAGGAGAATGGTCGACCTTGATATTGATACTCGACTATATGTTAACCTTGAAACCAGCTTGCAGTCCAATCATGGAGATAATTGGCCGAATGTCTTTGCTATCATAGTGTGGTGGCTGTAGAGATGAAGAAATACTATGGCCTTCAAAGGGAAAGATCTTGACACTGTGAGAAAAACTGAGTGGATCATTGAGCAGAGTAGAGATGTGCATAATGCATTTGCTAAAATAAGATGGGCGAAATGCTACAATCAAAAGTAGGATGATATTATATGGTGGAAGCACCCTGGAAGAGAGAAAGCGGTGCTTAATGTCGATGGCAACTTTAATTATCGAAACTATGGAGCTGGTTGCATAGGTGTAGCGAGGGAAACGGCTGGGAGGATTCTCAAGCAAACTCAAGGTCTATCATGCAATTGAGAGTGAGGCATTGGGTGTTCTAAAAGGTACTCAATGGGTATGGAAGAAAGGAATTCGAAGCATGAAGATTCAAACAAACTCTAAGAAAATAGTGGGTTGGATCAAGGGCCCAGTGCAACCGTTGGGACCTTTGAGAGACATTATACATGAGTGTCGGGAACCTTGGGAGGTAACCATTAAGCACATCTACAGGGAACAAAATGAGGTTGCTAATGGTCTTGCTAAGTTGGCATTTCATTTCGTCGATGAGTGGTATGTTTTGCATGAAGTTCCTCCGAGAATGCATGAAGTTGTGCCCAGAGACCAAAAAGGAATTCCACACACAAGAAAAATTCTTGTGAAAAGCTACTAGTATCGGATTTTCCCTCCTATTTTACTTAAAAACAAAAACTATTTAAAATATCCAATTACCTTCGCATTCACAAAAATCATTTCTTAAAATATAATTCAGCTATTTGAATATCTAATTAGCCTCACATTCATAAAAATCATGTGAATATATAATAATTAATCATTAAAAAAAAACCCTATATTGATCATTAGAAAGAAAATAGATTAAATCTAATATACCTAAAATTGATATTATAGTAGGAGTTAAATTCATTTTTGGTCCTATATTTATTGTGCGTTGGACACATTTAGTCCGCATTTATTAATTTTGTCATTTTTAGCCCAAACTTAATAAAAATTGAACAATTTTAGTCCACCGTCACAGTTGACATTAAGGCTCCGTGAAATAGAAGGACATTTTTGTCCATTCAAGGGCTATTCTTCATCTGCTCCTATTTTTAAGTTAGCAGCGATGTTTGGCTCATAGCATTAACCCCCTGGCTCCATCCTCGCGGCCATGGCAGAGTAGCAGAGTGAACGATGAATTTGCTAACAAAGCTACTCTCTACCCAAATCTCACAACACTGTTCTCGGTTATCCTCACAGCCAATTTTCTTGATACAAGTTCTAGAAGTTCTCCAACAAGCTTCTTTTTGTTCCTCAAGGACTGCTTCTTGATTTGATTCCTGTTGTGTTTGAGGGTGATTTGGCTCATGTTGTGAGCTTCCATGTGAAGGAAAATGATTGTGTCTGGACGATTGTGCCTTCCTTCTGGAAAGTGTGTGGCCGCCGCTGTTATTCTGCAAGATAACGACCACCTTGTTCCTCTCGTAATCGCAGTCTGCAAACATCATCTGGTGAAGCCTCCTCTCCGTGTGCGTATCCTTCTTGATTTCACTGCAAAGAGAAAGAGGGCGGGGGGTTTGGTGTTGTCAATCATTCAGATACATGGATTGGATATACTCGTAGAGGACGAAGGACCAAAAAATAATACTATTCTGGAGTGATTACTAGCTTTCTGCTAATCATCAAAATCAGAGTCATCTTCGTACTCTTTGAACTCCTCGATCGTTTTCCAGCAAAATAAAGAAAGATATCCGTAAATTGTGCTCACCGTCCAAGAACCACCGACCGTCGGAGGAGACGTAGGCTTTCTTGATTGACAGATTCAGATCCGTGAGAACCTGAACAGCTTCCAGAAGAATTCTGTGCTTTCTCGCACTATCAATTACATTATAATCCTTAAACCACATAACAAAATCGATTTTAACCATAATTTACTTGAAATCGGAACCAAAAAAAAAATCCCAGAAAACTCATATCTGCAGACATACGAACAAGAAACCTTGAAAAATCCGGCAAAAATCAAGAGAAATACTAGGACCAGAGTTTTTACCTAGGAGTATTCATGCGAATAACAAGCTCTGTGTGAATGACGAATAGATAAATAGTAGGTCACTCCTCCAAAACTCCAAACTTCTCTGCAATTTTGTACGGGAAAACTCCGACGATCCGAGAAAAAAGCGAAGAAGACAACTTTGGGAGGTCTTCGGGTTCGAACTTTTGCTTCTCAGTGAGCACGAGTCGCCATTCAAAGCTGGGAGATCAGAGAGTATAACTGTGCATGAGAATTTGAAAAGGGGAATGAACTGTGAGGAGGGGTGGCTTGAAAGGACAAAAATGTCCTTCCATTTTACGGAGCCTTAACGTTAATTGTGATGGTGGATTAAAATTGTCCAACTTTTATTAAGTCTAGGCTAAATGTGGCAAAATTAATAAATGCGAACTAAATGTGTCCAACACACAATAAATGTAGGACCAAAAATGGATTTAACTCTTAGGGGTCGTTTGGTTCACGGAATGTCAGATTACCTTAGGGAATGTTAGATTGCTGTGAATATTAGATTACTGGGAATGTTAGATTCCTGTGTTTGGTTAAAATTGGGGTATGTAATATAATCATGTTTGGTTTAGGGTTATCTTTTATACACACTATAATATTTTTAAGATAACCAAGGTTATCTTACATTACCTAAGAATCCTATGTGGAAGGAATGTGACATTCCTTGGGAATGTTAGATTCCCTAAGATAATATGAACCAAACACCGGAATGTGAGCTTTGGAATGTCACATTCCCTTGGTTATGTTATATAACCTGAACCAAACGCCCCCTTATAGTAGGTTTGACAAGTAGAATCATTAACTTGTAAATTTGTAATTCAATTGCAATATAATTATTAACCCTTGAAGGTGACTATAAATAAATTTCATCCATATGGCACGTAAAAAATATTTAGAGGGTTAGGGTTGGAGCTGAGGTGCCCTGGCGAGAATGGACAAACTCTCCCCACTCATGCCCCGCATGTCCCAAAAAGATTCCCCAACACTCCAATGGATTATTGTTATCCCGATTTCTAATCTAGGGGAAAAAACACCATATATTTTATGAACTATGATATTAATATGGCAAAATATTAATAAACATTCTATAAATCATGAAACTTACAATGGAAATGGAAGTACAAAAGCAATATATATATATATATATATATATATATATATATATATATATATATATATATATATATATATATATATCATATCATATCTGAAATACCTAAGTCTTGAAACAACTAGTATGTACAATCCATCTATGGAATCTTAAGAGTATTTTGCTTCCTGTTGATAAACAGCATCATCCTGTGAATGCATCTGCAGAAAAGCAATGAGCCACAAAAGGTCAATAAGTAGAGGTAGAGTGACTATATGTTTAAACTCATTGCCTGAAACAAAATAGCAACCATGATAACAGAATCATAATGCAAGGTCATATGCAATTTTTTTTTTTTTTTTGGTGTAACCACGAGGTGGTCCGGGTCTTTTTCTATCCGTTTAACGGTCCAGGTCCACCCGACTAATCCCCGTTCGCTCCGAGAGGCACGGGAGCTGGCCCAAGGTGAATTGTCACTTGTGAGAATCGAACCCGGGTTATCCCGAAATTCTCCCCCACAAAAGAACTCACTTGTCACTTGAGCTACCCCTTTGGGTTAAGGTCATATGCAATTCAAGCCTTCAATTTCAATGTGTACTGAGAGTAACTATAAAGAGAAAACTGAAGCGGATTTTTGAAGTCTCCTAGAGATCATGAAGGCCCCATCAACAGTCTTTCAGCTATGAATTTAAAGCATCAATGAATACATAATCTATTTCTTTCAGTTCTCACGGTAAGAGGGGCTCTCATTTGATCATTAATATATACATATATATATACACATTTTCAAGAAAAAAAAAAAGGCTTACCAGACCAAGAGCTTCAGCCACACTTCTGCCAGAGCTTTCACCACAAATTCCTTTGAATGTGTTCATAAGAAATTCCCTTTGTTCTAATTTTAAGTGTTTTTTAAGGCCTCGAGCCACCATTTCCATCTCAGGCTGCCAAAAATGCAAGAAACATTATCAGCTAAAAATGATGAATTTCCAGTGTATTAAAAGCTTGGTAACAATACAATGAACTTTTAACAGACTGAATAGAGAAATGATAACAAGTAGCCTAGCTTGGTGGATCAGGCTCCATCACCCATCTTGTAGTCATTGGCCTCAAGATCTTGTATCCATCAAAGCCTTACAGCCTTATCAAAACTTAAACTGGTAGTAACCTACACTATCTTGGTTAATCTACATGCTACAATCATAACTAGGTTTTCTTTGTGATTTTAATTTTATTACTTACCTCATCAATTTAAGAGTGTAATTTTAACTGTTTCCATTTAGTTAGTTGTTCATCAAGGTTTCTGAGTTTCACTGTTTAAAATTATCAGGGTTAGGACCTTGTAGATACAAATTTCCCAGCCAGCACTATATGCATGTTTTAAATACCATTTTTCATATCTTCGGCCTGCAACTTCGTTCATTTTTCTTGGTCATGCAGCCATTTCATTTTTGTTTCTATAATACTAATAATTAATACATCAAAAATGAGGTAACATACATAAAAAAAAATTCGTCAATCCATCAAATATCAAATATGAATATCATAAGAAAGGTCTCCCTTAATGACCAGAAACAAAATAATCAATCTTGCAAATGAAGGGAATGCATACTGAGTACTCATCAGGTGGAAATATTTCGTGAATGAGACGAATCTTTTGCAGTTCCTCGACAGCTTCTGCATGTCTGCTTTGCATTTCAAGTGCCTGAAATTCAAGAGCAAATGTGGGTGAAATTTCGTGAAAATCTAGTCACATTGCTAATGATATTTAAGAATCAGGTCCTTGCTCTAAACTTCTTGAAGTTTGGAGAAAGAACAAGTGCTACTTTGGAAAAGTAGGGGTCTATAGTGCCAATTTGGGTAACTTTAAGAAATTTAAGGCAAAGACACCAAAGTTAACTCCAAATGTTGTGATGATTGATGAATGAGCTTAACTTTAACATTTTGCAAATCCTAATCCAGATAGCTTACCCATGCCTGCAAAAGCCTGGACCTTGTGCGTGCAGCAACTGCTGCAGACACCATTCTTGCAGCTCTAGTGTTCTCAAGGGCAATGTTATCAGCAAGCCCTGCAATGAACTTCTGCACATCCTCACCATTAATCTGAACAAAGCCTGGCTGATTACCCATACTGCCAAATACAGAACTAAGTTACTAAAATGCTGAGAAATTGGGTAACCACTAACCAGCAAATATATAAGTATCAAAGGAATGTACAAGAGCCTGAGAGAGTATACCTTTCACAATAGTTCAGAACATAGTCAACAGATGTACGATACAGTGAATCTCGAGCATGTTCAGTGTCAAAGGAGACCCTCACTTTAGATGTTTTGCATATGCGACGTAACTGTTGGTGGAAAATGAAAATGCAGAGATTATCTATTGAAGTCCATGTCTTGTATGTTCAGATTACTTTTCCATGGCTCCATGCAATTGCCATACAATGAATTAGAAATTTTCAGAAAGAGTTCAAGTCATAAAGCACAGATCTAATTTGCAAGACCGCAAGAATGGAAACCTACAAACATTTAGAGTGCAAAGAAATAAATACACTCAAGAATAGTTAGTGTAAAGCTTTCCACATCTCCATAACTCCATTATTTTCTAAATTGCAAGCTTCCCTCCACTAAGATAACTATTATTAGGGAAAATGACACTTTTTGCCGTTAAGTTATAGTGATAGCGCTTACTTGCCACCTCAATTAATGATGCATCCACATTATCCCCACTAACCCCAAAGTGGCTATGTTTACCCAAACCCATTAGCTATTCATGGTAGACATCCAAAATCTTTAAAAAATTTAGGGTTTTTTAGGAAGATCAACTAAATTTCCCAATACCATTGTTTTTTTACTCTAAGCGTACAAATAGACAGGAAAATTTTTCTCAATTCTCATTTTTGGACATGCAATTAAGATTCGAAAACAAGAATAGAGAGAAATTATCTTATTTATTTTGTAAGTATGGGTTAAACGAACGATCATATTAAAAGATTTAGACTAATATTTATCATTTAAAAAAAAAAAAAAAAACCCACTCATTTTTAGGGTTTCGATGTCAACTGTATATAGTCAATGAATTTTTGGTAAAAATAGACACTTCAAAATAATTGAGGGGGAAAAAGTGGGTGCATCTATAATTGAGGGGGGAAATAAGCTATATCACTATAACTTAGGGGGGGAAATGTCATTTTCTCTTATTATTATTTTAAGTTTTACTCGTATAGGACACCTAAGTACGCTTAGAAAGTAGCAAACTTATGCAGTTGTATGTCACACTAACAGGAAATCAGGAATAGCAAGACCAGAGAAGGCAAGGAATTAAAAGCATTGAATTACTCAGCCTATAGTTTAAAATTACAAGTACATGAAACAAAAGGTTGAAGAGGCCAATAAAATACTAACTTGAATTATATCATCCTCCAAAACATCCTTTCCGCTCATTCTATTGTCCAAGATGGCTGGAAATCAAATTGTAAGGTGTGGTTTAACAACAAAAGCTTGATCACAGTATTTATGGAAGTTTAAGAAAAAAGAAGATACATGCTTATCTATAACAAACACAATTGCAGTTCAAAGTATTTCACAAACATAGCAAAAAATGTATCAAAGTACACTACATGTATTATCAGAACGCCCATCCCACTCTCATTCAGTCATACTTCTTTGATAATACATGCATTGTAAAACTGAGGTGAATAGGTGATAGAGACAATAGAGACAATTCAAACTGGAGTGTAGTGCCAGTAACCTATTCACCTCAGTTTTACACTCCACCAAAATAGAGACAATTCAAATGAGCTGCACATAACAGAAACCAATAGTTTTCTGTTACTAGCATTTAATTTTAGCAAGAGAAATTTTCTGCCTGTGCAACAGTTCAACAAGTTTGGAACGTTTCTGTTGAACTGAAATTAAGGAGTACAAAAGCACAAGGAATTGGAGTCACCATTGTATTTTCATCTCAATCGAAAGAGAATCGAACATGGGAATAGAGCTTTAGACTTTTTCCATCTGTTAGAAATTCTCACATCACAATTCACAAGGCAATGTCTCCAATTTCTATAATTCTATGTATTAAAAAAGCACTTCAGAGCTTAGAGCCTTAACCTGCGAACTAAAGGAATGCACCACAATTACTATACGATTGCACGAATTCACAGCAACTACTTGAAGAAGCTGGGTTTAAAGATATTAACTGAGGGTTTAAAGAATAACCAAAAAAATATATGGATTTCAAAGCAGTAAGTAAACTCTACCAACCTCGAACCAACATATTGGCCATTCTCTGATTCTCCTCCCGAAACTCCATAAGTCCTTGACTGGAATCCGTATTGGGCGGCCACCATTTGGGCAATCTCTTCACGTAGCTACTTCTTCTCGACAACCTCATCCAGTCAAAAGAACCTAACATTTTCTCATCCTCGTCGTCAATACTTCCGAGTATATCAATTTTCTTCTTGTTGCTCCTAAGCTCAGTTCTCTCCTTCTTCGCAACCAACACTTCTTTCCCACCCAGACTCCGGTCTCTTCTATACACCATTTCGACTTTACCCTCTCCGTAATTTCTTCGAAACCCTAACGCTACTAGTTTAACAAAAGCCCTAAAAGTGAAAACAATCACAATACTGGAAAGGAAGAGGGTGCCCAGGAATTGAACCGTTGACCTGCGGCAGGATATCACGACCCTACGGGTCTGGCCGTCGACGCGAACGAGAGTCTGCAGGTCTTCCACGGCGGCGCGGCCGGAGTCAAGGAACTCGGCGAGCTTAGACTCAATAACATCCCTGAGGGGGTGCAGGGGCGCGGTGGGTAAGCTGTCGACGGTTAGGATGAACTGGAGGTTTTTATCGGACGGCGGCAAGGAGGGGTCGGAGGCGGTGGAGATATCGGGGAAGAATTTGTGTAGGAGGCGGCGGCGGTGGTGGCGGCGGCGGGGAAGGGAAGAGGAGAATCCACGGGGAGCATTGTGGTTGAAGAGAACGAAACGACAGCGCTTTGGCTGGTTGAGTAGAAGGGAAACTGAAGAGAAATTGAGAGAGCTGTTCATGGAAATGGCGCCCAAAGATTTTCTCAAATCTCTTCTTGAGAAGTATAGACGAAAATTGTGAAGGATCTTTCTTCTTCCTCAGCTAGCTTAGCTATATTCCATTCATCCCATTTCCACGAGAAATTTACCAAAATGCTCATAGCTTTTGTTTTATCTTTTAAAAATAGCTTTCAAACTATTATGGAAAGTCCGCCTTCAAAAAAGTTAAAAACTTTAAATGAACACTAAACTTGATTAAAAAAAGGAATAAGGGTCAAATAGGCCACTCAACTACACACCAAAGTGCAATTAGGCCATTGAACTAAAAAAAATGCAATTAAGCCATTGAACAACACAAAAATATACAATTTAGCCCAAAATGACTTGTTTACCTAGAGTAGTAAGTTACCAATTTCAAAATTAATTTTTTAAAATAATTTTTAATAAATAAATAATTAAATTATTATTATAAAAAAAAAAAAAAACAGAAACTTCCGGCCGGAGACGAATCGTCTCCGGCCGGCTACGTCTCCAGCCATGGAGACAAAGACCTTCGTCTCCATGGCCGGAGACGAATTTGTCTCCATGGTCGGAGACGATTCGTCTCCATAGCCATGGAGACGAAGGTCTTTGTCTCCATCATGGAGACAAAGCCGGCCGGAGACGATCGTCTCCGGCCGGCAGTTTCTCTTTTTTTTTTTTAAATTTATTTATTTATTAATATTTTAATTAATTATTTATTAAAAGTTATTTTAAAAAATTAATTTTGAAATTGGTAACTTGCTACTCTAGGTAAACAAGTCATTTTGGGCTAAATTGCATATTTTTGTGTTGTTTAATGGCTTAATTGCATTCTTTTTGAGTTCAATGGCCTAATTGCACTTTGGTGTGCAGTTGAGTGACCTATTTGACCCTTATTCCTTAAAAAAAAATGAGTTAATATCCAATATACTCATTGACTATGTAATTTTACTCAATTTAGTGTAATGACCTATGACCTTTGATCTGATTCTGATACCAAATTGAAGCATGTGCTCCATCTTAACTAAAAGCTTATGTTGATAGTTGAATTGCACATCGATTAGATGCTCAACAGTGACATTTTATACTTTATTTAGTCCTTGACTTTAATGATTTTACACACTTTAATCATTTATTAAGAATTTTGTTTGTTAATTGTTAATAGCAAGGTTAACATGACCATTTCATTTCCCTTTTATTTATGGTCAGATTAATTACCTCTCCTAATTTCCATCTCTCTTCTTCATCATCAATACAATTCCCTCTCCCTTCCTCAAGTCCTAGAAAACGCTGCAATACGCATTGGCAAATGACTCATTTCAAAACAAACAGTACACTTTGGCACTTCACAAGAGCAAAAGTGGTTAGCAAATAATTAGCAATTAGTTAACTTTGGCATGTTCGAATTCTTATCGCTTTTCAAATGAATCCAAACAGAAGCTCTTTTAGTTAATTTCAAATGAATCCAAACACAAAGCAATTAGCAAATAATTAACAATTAAGATTAACACTAATGAATCCAAACCCAAGCAATTAGCATTATGTTCATGCAGTATCAAAACTAACAGAGAGAAAAAAGAGCAAAATTTCCAATACTCACACATCAATCATGCAATCAAAATTAAAACTTATTCTCAAAGTACAAAACTAGAACAAACCGAATCATAAGTCAGAACTTCATAATTTAAACAGATTTAATATTAAAGATGAATGAATGAACGAACTTAGATTTTGTGGTCTTTGAAGAATCGGGTGATCAAAACCTACCTAGTCGTTTGGAGATGTGTACATACTTAATGATATCTCCATCTTAAAATTTCACTAATTCCTATTTATTTTTCTTTTGAAAAACAAGAAAAATACTTTGAAAGGAACCAAAAGAAAGAAACAAAATATCAAAATCAAACATAATAGATGATAAATGCTTACTTACACTTATTTCTAATATCTTATTTATATTGATTTTGCTTGTTTATGATTTAGTTTGATAGGTGCTTAATAAATTAATATTTGATTTTTAGTAATTTCCAAACAAAAATGGCAAAATATGCACTTTGTGTGATGCTAAGATTATTTTGGTCATATATCTCTCATACAAATTAAAGTCTAATTAAGGTTATTCAAGTGTGTATCGAAAGCTAAAACAATCCCTAGAATTTTTATGTTCATAGTTTCCAGAGATCGATTCAAAACAAATAAGGGTAAAAACGGTGGATAGCTTTCTACATGCCCAGGGACACAACTTTGCAATATGCTGATAATATTTTGGCTATATCTCTTTCATAAAAGAAGTTCATTTGATGTGATTCAAGTGGCTACAGAAATCTAAGATGATCCTCTACAACTTTCATGTTCAAAGTTATAAAAGGTTTAGACTAAAATATAGAGAAAAACCCAGTCAGATTACAATAGGCCCGATAACACGGTCGTATCGTAGGGTTTGTTGACTTGGCTGTAACAGATGTCGACACCCTTGCGAATTGTGATAGGGACATGTTGTAGGGCATGTCGACTGCAACAACTCTATTTAAGAAGCATTTTAAACTTTTTTGGGGAACTTTTCGACCCTAGACTTCAAAGAGATAACACAAGACACTTTTAGGGACTTCAACCATGCTTTAGCTCTTTACATCTCATGAAAGTTTGGCCACAAGATTTCTTCGTGGATTAAAAGGATTTTTATGTATTCTTGGATTCTTTGATGAACCTTAGTATGAGATCTTGTTCTTAATTGTTTTCTTGCCTTAATATAATAGTTTATCCTTTGATCCAATCATTTTTTCATTATCCATGAATTAATTAATAATTGTTGTGTTATTAAATTAACGTTTGATGCATATTTATTGCGATAGAGATATTCTCTGTATGTGTAGATCACCATCCACAAGATTGAAAGGAGTATCATGCAACTCTAAAATAGAATGACATTAATCATTTGTGCCCGAGTCAAATCGTTAGTAAAACTCATAAATCTTTAATGCAATCTTTAGAGGTTTTAATTTAGTGAAGCTTTCAATTAGAGCTGTCGAAACGGGTCGATGGGGCAGGGCCAGCCAAAGCTTGCCATATGGCGGGGACGGGTTTAAAAACCCGCCAAATACGGGCCTAAGGGAGGTCGGCCCACCCACCCCACCCCCTCTTAAGCCCGCGGGCCTTGGCGGGGTCGCCCGTCAAATTTTAAAAGTTTTAAATTTAAATAATAATTAATATAAAAAAGGTAATATGTGTATACTAAAATAATTTGGATAGTTTAAACAAATATTAATGCATTTGTAATTTTTTAAACACAATAGTAACTAATAAATAATCAAATACATAATGTGTTAATCCATAAGTCAATAACAAAACATTTATACAATGTACTAATTTTTTTTTAACTTGATTATATATATATATATATATATATATATATATATATATATATATATATATATATATATATATATATATATATATATATATATATATGAAAAAGTTCAAATGCGGCGGGGTTTCAGAATATACCAATAGTGTTAACGAAAAGCACCAACAGTGTAAGGGAAACACACCACAATGAAATACATAAATACACCAAAAAATACACAACACACCCAAAAAAATACACCATATAACCACCCATAATGGTTAGGGGTGACCACGGTTCGGTTCGAACCGTAACCATGCATTGTACAACCAGAACCGGAACTGAACCGTCCGTACGGTTTTGGTTCCAGTTCCTACCAGAACCAATAAGGTTCTGGTTAAGGTTTTGATAATTAAGGAACCAGAAGGTTCCAGTTCCAAACCGTGAAATTCTAAAAAAAACAAAATTAAAAAATTAAGTGGTCGTTTACTTCATTCCCCTGTTTTTCCATTTCCATTTCTCCATTTCTCCTTTTCTCCAATTTTCATTCTCCATTTCTCCAATTTTTTATTTCTCCAGTTTTCTAATTTTCATTCGCTATTCCTCCATTTTTTCATTTTTCTAATAATAATAATAATAATTTCAATACATAAATAAAAACCTTACACTAAATAAATTACAAAAAAAAATACGCAATAATAACATGTCTAAAAATATGAAAGTGAATATTTTTTAAGTAATAAGCATATATATTTTTATAAAAATAAATATCATTATTTGTAGGGACATAATAATAATAATAAAGAAAGAATTGAAAAAAAAAAGAAGAAGGGGAATAAACGAATAAACGAAGGGAAGAAAGAAAGAGGGGGAGAACAATTATAGAAAAAGTAATAATAATAATAATAATAATAATAATAATAATAATAATAATAATAATAATAATAATAATAATAATAACAATAATAACAATAATAACAATAATAACAATAATAACAATAATAATAATAATAATAATAATAATAATAATAATAATAATAATAATAATAATAATAATAATAATAATAATAATAATAATAATGATGATGATGATGTATTTCTGAACACTGTGTGGTGCTTTTAATCATACCTAACGATGTGTTTTTGGTGATGCGTACCTAATTTGTGTGTGTTTTTGTGGTGCATTTCCTAACGTTGATGGTATATATATATAATATATATATATATATATATATATATATATATATATATATATATATATATATATATATATATATATATATATATATATATATATATAGTTAAGTTCAGGTGTGGCGGACTCTTCCCGTGCGGCGGTGCGACGTCACCAATAGTTGATCGAATATATACCATCAACGTTAGGAAATGCACCACAAAAATACACACAAATTAGGTACGCATACCCATACATATATTTATTTCTATATATCTATATTTTATATATAAATACAAATATATATAACACAAATTAAATATTTATATATACATTTTTTCTTAAATTTACTTATCCACAGGACATAAAATTTTAATATGTAGTGATTGTCAATAATGTTGTAAACTTTTTAACCGTGCACCGCATGGGGCAAATATTAGTGTGTATATATATATATATATATATATATATATATATATATATATATATATATATATATAGCAAAATATTTTATTATAAGTAAATAGTTCTATTTGGATAATATTTATATTTAATATAAATATTTAGGAAAACACGGGGTGTTACAAATTAGATGTACTTTTAAAAAAATGACGCGATGGAATTTTCGTAAATAACTTGAACTTCGGTACAAGTAAAATGTGTTACAAGTGCAAGTAACTGGGTGCAAGTTTGCAAGTAAAAAGTTCAAGTAAAACCACTTACAAGTGCAACTGTTTTCACTTACAAGTGCAAGTTATTTACCTTGTTAACATTCGTACGCCTTATGATAAAGTCTTTCACATAGGTTCACTTAAAAAAAAAAAACAAACAAGACTAAATATATTAAGTAGTGAAAAAATGCAAGATACAAGAAGGCGGGACAACCTTCCACGCTCTCAGGACAGACGAAGAATCAGTTGCTCGTGCTAACACGTGATCCATCTGATTCGTTGACATATTGACATGACGAACAAACATGTTCCCAATGTCACTAGCAATCATACGACATTGCTTAGCAATCAAACCAACATACGAAAGGTCCAACTTACAATAATTGAAACTTAAATAGAAATTTAAACAATCAGTCTGAATACCAACATTGTTAAGACCACGCTATTTAATCCATGTGAGCGCCTCCTTCACCATCATAGCTTCTGCTAGATAAGGATCCTGACACCCCGGTAATGTACCATTCTTATCAGCAACAAAACCATCGCCATGATTATGAAGTACTAACCCGAACCCTGCTCCACCATCAAAATTCGCTGCATCGACGTTGCATTTAAGAGAAATGTGAGAGGGGAACTACCATGCATAAACATTAGTTGCTACATCCACATTGGCGTCTAGGATTTGCACATTAGGAATCACATTCGCACCACCAAAATGTGCCTTTAGCTGCTGCCAGCTTGCACAAAGCATCTCCACCCACCTTCACATACCATCAATAAACCACAATTTCTCATTCCATACCCTTTCATTTCTTGCTGTCCAAATAACCCAAATCCAGGCTACTAATACCACTGCCTCAGAAGAACGAAGGGAATCATTTAAAAACTCAGCAAAACACCTCCCTTGAAGAACATTATCAATACCCCAAACGAGACAAGCAATTGGGCATTCACAAAAAATGTGTTCCAAGGTTTCATGTTCGTACTCGTAGAACGAGCATCTACCACCAACCCAAACCCTCATAGACTTAAGGACCTCTCATACTGGCAACACATTAGGAGAACATCTCTACATTAGATTCCTGTACTACTTAGGTGGCACTGGAAGCATCCACAGTTCTCTCCGACCAGAAAACACAAGTCGCGGATCAGGAACACTAGTTGTTTGAGTGAGCAACCGATAGCCATGTTTAACTAAATACAAACCTTTAAGATTACCTCTCCAGTATTATGTGTCCGACAGATGAATTGAACCGGGGTAGCAAGAATTCGGTCCACATCACCTTGATTAAAAATATCCCGCAGAATATCCACATCCCAAATGCCAGATTGTGTAAGCAAACCACTAACCGTGGCCTCCTTGAGTTCCTCGATCCTGGGCATGAGTGCTTTTTATCTGCTAACCAAGGTGAACCCCATATTTTAGTGTCCATCCCATTACCCACTCTCATAGCAACACCTTCTCGTAATGGAGGTTGCCCTTCCAAAATGCTTCTCCAGATGTAACTTGGGTTATTACCAAGGCGTGCCTCCAAGAAATCTCCCTGAGGGAAGTACCTTGCCTTCAAGAGCTTAGCAACCAGAGAGCCAGGATAAATCAGTAACTGCCAACCTTGTTTAGTTAGCAAAGCAACATTAAATTCATGGAGTTTTTTGAAACCCAAGTGAAAAGACGTTTCTCTTAGAATTGTAGTGACGTATGGAAGAATGTAGTGTAGGGGGATAAAGATCCCCGGATTGTCGTTCTCACGGATGGCAAATTAGAGAGGTTCAAGTGCACGTACAAGGAATATATTGGCAAGTGTTAACTAGGTACAAATGCATCATTTAAATAGTTCAAGGTGTGCAAATGCAACAATGCATTCTCTTTCTAGGGTAGAATTGATAAGGTGCATGAGAGATCACTAAGGGAGAAAATGGCACAATGACTAAGTCACGTAGGACTTAGACTTTTAGGTCCTAAATTCGGCTAAGGCATTTTTTTGAACACGTTGTCTACCTCTCCTTCCGGACCTAGCCCTCTCGGATCGTAGGGCGGGAATTGCAAACAAGCAAGACTTTTATGAGATCTCAATCTCTTGTAAACCTCATAATCTCACAATCTTAACCTATTGTGGCCATCAATAAGCAAGGATCAGCTAAAGAATGTTCACAGCATGGAAAAACCTAGCATGTACCAAATCTCTTCATAGGGAAATTACAATCTAGAATGCATAAGCTTTAGAGGCTCCAATCCAAATCCTATTAACCTAGCCACTCATCATCATGGTGGTTCAAGATCAATCTCTAATTGTAAGCAAAGAGTAAATGAAAGTAGAAATTCAAATGCAATCGAGTAAAGCAATACCAATTGTAATCCAAAATGAGTTTCAATCTCCAAAGGAAGAAGAGATTGCTCCAAGAGATCCAATTCTTCACTTTCTCTCTTTACAAAGTATCTAGGGTTCTTCAAGAACTAAACTAGAATTTAAGAAAATGTCTTAGTGTCTCTTCAAAATGAAAATCCATCTTTTAAATCCCTTTTCCTGCCTAGGAATCGTCCCAGACCACGAGCCCGCCACGATCGTGGACTGCTCGTGGTTTAGTCACTTATGCATCGAGCCCTTCTGCCACGAACGTGTATCCTCTTGTGGCGTATTCTGTTTCTTATCCACGAACTGGCCACAATTGTGGATCATGTCATGGCACTCTCTGTTTTCAATCCATGAGCTAACCACGATCGTGGCACGCCTCTGTAGGACTACCATGCTCTTTTCTCATGCACTTCTAAAAAGGTACACTTTTGGCACTTATCACAAGTTTCCAAACTTTGAACTTGCTTGTCCTCAAGCAAGAGGAACATTATCATCAATAAAATCCATAAGTGCCAAGAGTGTAGCTCATAGTCCTCACTTCCAAGTGTTGGGATGATTGTGATGCGTATGAATTCCAAAATGGGTGATGTCCCTCATTTTATGAACCAAGTATGGTAAATCATGTACAACTCTTCAGTGACTTGATAGCTAAGGGGATGATGCACTTTATAGGATAAAGAAGTCAAATATTCATTATGGTACTCTTCTCTCAAGCATTCTTTCTAAGCAATCAATTTCCCAAGTTAGGTTTACCTTCTATTTTCGAAGGGCCTTCAAGTCGAGCCCCCTAGTGGGAACGATGTGCACACCACAACCAACATTCTCCCAATGCGCCAAAGCCCAACATAAAAGTAAAGTGAGGGTACGACATGGCCTCTCCCCACCAATGGCTTAGGCGGTCACTCTTTTCTTCTCAACCCCTAGATAACGTCATCGGGGGACCCGACTTCACGTGGAATTCCACGCTTTTCCAAAGGAAGTGCAATGGGTGCCCAAATCTTAGTGGGGTGGCTCACCTCCTCTCTTGTTTTCTCGTCTCCTAGGATAACGTCGTTGGGGCATGTGACAACCCAAAATTTAATTTTCTAAATTTAGTTTTAAGAAATTCCAAAATAGCCGTTTTTCACTCTATCAAAATTTTTGCGATAAAATCGGTGTTTGAATAAATTATTTTAAGCCACTTTTAAATAAATTCAACACCGAGAATTATTTTAATTCTAAAATCCTAAATTCTCAGGTACATTGCGTACCAAGTTTTTGAACCAAAAGTCAATCTGAGTGAAACCGGGAGAAGTCTGAGAAACCTATTAACCTAACCTAAGTGGCTGTCAAGAAATCATTTTTGGAAAAATGCAGTTTGACCCCAAATCTATTTTAAACTATGATACTAGACCTGGGTCCATGTAGCATGGTAGACCACAAAAATCCATGTGTTTGATACCTTATAGAATCAACCAAATTTACCATTTTGCCACCAACCAATCATTGATAAGCTACCTAGGGTTTTGCACCCTATTTATACTCCATTATTCCCTTGCCTTCATCTGATTCCCTCTCATTTGCCTCTCCTTTTTTTGAGCTCTGTAGAAGAAAGAAAGCAAAGGCAGTAAGTTTCAATCCCACCCCTTCATTTATCTTCTTCCTTAAGGTTCTCACCTCTTTACTTCCATTACCTGAGTTTTCCTTCTCAAATCTTTGTTGTGTGACTTGTTTGAGGGGTTTAGGTGGTGAAGGTGGTGCTAGCTAGGTAGAGAGAAAAATTCTGAGATCCACACAAGAAGATGAAACACCAAAGGTATAACCCATGGACTCCCACCTCTTTTTATAGACTCCGTGAAGTCAAGTTAGATGTTGAAATGTGTAGAAATGCTAGATTTTTGATGTGTTTGAGCTATTAAGTGATCTATTGTTGATCTATGTTGTGTTGTTGAGGATTTAGGAGTGTTGGATTGCTAGAAATTGCATTTCAGGTGAAGAAGAACCCCATTGGTGCACAGACAGTGTGCACCAGATGGTGTTACGGAGCTAGCCAACGGCCCTAGGCAGGGCCGTTGGCAAGCCCCATGGAGGAGCGTCCCTAGGGCACGACTCACAGCTAGAGCCGTGGCCCTAGGCCGCCGCTTGGCGAATCCAGGCGGCGGGGCTCCTCAAGCCCCGCCAGGCCAAAACTATGCAGTGGCCGGGCCCTTGTGGCTCAGCTACGTGTCGTTCGGACCGGGACTCGCGGACCCTTGAGGTTCGGACACTCAAGATCGTCACGACGCACTAGTAGAATTTGACTTCATTGGATTTGGAGTTGAAATGAGCAAATTACAGTAGCTTTTGTGCTTGAGTTTTGCTATTGATATGCACTGTGTAGAAATTACAGAGAAGGAAAAATGTGAAGTGTTTAGACTTAGCTATTTAAATGAGAAGCATGACAATTATTTGATTGTTGGATTAAGGAGCATGATCATTATTTGCCAAGTTTGCTTGATTAGCATGTAGAAATAACCATTGTGAGTTATTGTGAATTTTGTCAAGAATATGAGATATTTGATTGTACAGTGCATGAACTTATTTGCCTAGTAAAGTGAAATATTAGAGCATGATATCTATTTTGAGTTTAAAGAGCATGATCAATATTTTCTAAGTGTTTGCTAAGTGTTAAAGTGATAAGCATGAAGTAGCATATTGTTTGCTTGACTTATAGTCAAAGAGAATTTGAGATATTTCTTATAGAAAAGAGCATGTTTAGTATATCATGAACTAAAGTGCATAGGTGGCTCTAAGTAAGCCTAAGTATTCTTTCAAAAACCTATATCTATTTTGAAAAAATCATTATCTAGTTGCATTGAGAAGTTGCATGATATTTGATTTCTAATTTGTGAGAAAAGAGAAGTTGTTGAGAAGCTATGTGCATAAGTCTGCATAAGTAAAGTTGTTGCATGAGGATGAAATGCATGAGTTATATCTATATGTATCTAGTGTGAGTAATCCGAGGTTTTGGAGGACCGTTAGGACTATGTCCTTCCGGAAGAAAAGAGAAAGCAAGAAAGTTTGAGAAAAGAAATGAACATTGCGAGCCGATAGATTTTAGAAGTAACATGGTCGATATTCCCGAGTTACTAGGTTGGATACTACCCGCCGGGCTTGGAATCCTGGTTAGGGGGTGTGCACACTAAAAGTACGATACCAGATTCCACAAAGAAAGCAAGCAAGAAAGAAAGATTAAGAACCAAGAGAGTGGTTCTGTGGGCGAGTTGAGTATTAAGTCATCTAGACTGCCGAGCCTGTATAGGTCTTTTCACAAGTCGTGAAGGTCCTACCTCCCTCACGAGTTAGAGGTTCCGTTGATATGGATGTGGGGGATGCACGAGATTGCACCGTACGCTAGGGCTTCACTATGGCAGAGTACCTGCCTCGCACAAGATGAGAAATGAGAAGTATGAGAAAGATTGAGAAAGAAGAGAAAAGCGAGTCAACATGACTCAATAGAAAGGAAGAAAGAAAGCGAGTCAATGTGACTTGAGAGGAAACAAGAAAGAAAGAAGAAAGCGAGTCAAGAGACTCAAGTGAAAGAAGAGAAAAATGAGTCATTGCGACTCTAAGAAACCTCCACAAAAAATATTTCTTTTTAAGAGTGAGAGTGTATATATATCTATATAAACTTATACTAAAACATCATGTTCATCGTATTGCATGATTAAATGATTTGCACGTGTTGTATGAAAGTAGGATAAGAAGCATGACATTATATCGTCTTACATTCGTATATGATAGCATGAGATTGTTTATTGAGTATATGATAGCATGAGATTACTTATTGAGTATATGATATCATGAGATTGCTTATTGAATTATGTGATAGCATGAGATTGCTTATTGAGTTATATGATAGCATGAGATTGCTTATTGAGATATATGATGATATAAGATTGTTGTTGAGATATATATTAGTATGAGATTGCTTGTTAAAGCTTAAGTATATTATTAACCATCAGTTTGAGCATGATTAGTGTATACCGCCATGATAAGATATTTATGTGAAAGCTTGAGATTGTAGATGAGCTAAATGATTGAGAAAGTATGCCTATTTGATATTTAGGTTGCAAGCATATAGAAATACTTAAGTATGTGTAATTGATTGCTTAAGTGATTGAGAATACTTGATCTAAGTGTGTGAAATAAATGTTTTCCAAAAGTATATACTGTAATATTTTATAGGGTTGAGTGGCGTTATACATAGCTTCGTGCTAATGGGTTGCTTTCTACTTGTTTGTTTGTTAACCCCTTTTTGGTTGGCCCAGTTCTTGAGAGCGACGGAGTTAGACTAGATTAGCTTAGTGTTCTAGTTATAGTCTAAACTCTTATTCAGATATGTTGATTTTGAGACTTGGTTGTAGACTTATCTAGATGTTTTTGATGGTGTTGGACACCGGAGTTTTATTCCCCTAGTTGTTTAAAGTTAGTTAAGCTTGACTTTGTTTAGATTTGTTTTCCTAGCATGTGCAATCACCGTGAGAGGTGATTGTGGCGGTGACACCTCTTAAAGTTGGTTTAGTAAGTTTACTATGCTCGTTTAGTATCTCTTTCTAAGTTAAGAATTTGTTAATAAGGTTTAAGAAAAGTGGGGTGTTACGTGGCGACCCGACTTCACGTAAAGCTCTACGATTTTTCGAAGACGGTGTAATGGGTCCCCCAAATCCTAGTGGGACGGCTCTCATCGTTTCTTACATCTCATTGGGTGGCCATTCTTTTGTCGTTGCCCTTTTCTTTTCTTCCTCCATGACTACCCCTCATGCCTTTTCTACAGATTAGGGGTTCACTCTTAAGCTCACCAAAGACTCACATTTTTCCCCATGCCTTACCAAGATTTGTTCGATTCCGGGCCTCGCTTTCAATTATCTTTCTAAAGTTGAGGGGTACACACTCCCACTTCGATAGATTCTTGACCAAGGTCCAAAGAAAATAAGACGTGAACAACACACAAGCATGCAAGGAAATTTAAA